TTTCGTGTTCCTACGACAGTTAATTCATTAAGTTTTATAATTACGAAGATCAATCGTCTTTCCTCCAGCAACAGTAATACGCTAGCTAGTGTTTGCAAACTAAAAGAAGTACCGTTTATTGTAAAAGTTGCATTTTGCTATAGAAATTCTCGTTGTTTTATTGTTTGGCAACGAAAAATGGTTGTGCAGAAGGCTTTTGAATTTGCAATATTTATTCTTTTTTTTAGGTAATAAACAGACATCAGCGAATAATACAGCTAGATTCGATCACTAGAACGGTTTGGAAGTCCTTGCAGGAATATTTGGTGGGTTTCAGAACGCGCTATTAATCAGGAGCGGTGATGACGGAACTGAATCCCAGTGATTGATTCTCCTGTTCATAGAGTGAGAATGGTTATAATATTCCCATAAAGCATGTATTACCTTTTGATAGATCGGAAGAAAGTTACAATAGAAGAAAATATGGCAATCTCTTATAAATGCATGGCCAACGGATGTCACAGAACTACCGCGATTAGCAGCCAAACTCGTTGAGTACATACACGTTTTTACTGATAGTTAGCTGTAGCTTACGCAGTGGCTGTATATGTATTAAATTATAGACTTCAAGGAGCAGACCATCCTTGATCTTCGCAAAGTCTCGAAGTGCTCCAATTAAAGATTACTACCCAGATTTGTACAAAATCGAGTTGAAGAGATACAAAGTGCGAAATTCTCGTTTCACTACAACACAATCCAGACAACATAGCAGCTAAAGGACTTATCCACTAGAACTAAAAAATTATGAACTGTGGTGGAAGGGACCGACATGGCTAAATAAAAAAGAATCTAACTGACTGACTGCAATGGGAGTTCAAAATCAGTGAATACAGGGACAAATAGTTATTGCCAAGGTAACCATTTAAATTCCTAAAGGATTTCAACTCATAGATGAAAGTCGTTTTCATAAGCGGTGGAGATTATTAAGAACGTCAGTTTGGGTTCTTAAATTCATAAGGGCAATAATAAAGAGAAAATTACCTTGATTGCGACAGTTATCAATACAAAGACAGTAATTCATTGCTGACGATTACAGATTGGCGGGATGGGTACTCTTTAGGCAAGTGTAATTATGAAGAATAACTGAAGTAGAAGTACTTAAATGGAGTTTGTGTTATGATGAAGATGAAACTTTATAGAGATCCAAAGGACGATTAGAAAATTCCGAGCTAGATGAAAATAACAAACGCCCACTTTACCTTCTGAGATATACTCCGGTAACCGAATTATATTACAATAGCATGAAGATTTATTTCAGGGGCAACAGGGCATATTCTATCAGAAATAAAACGAATATTTTGGATTTTTTGAAAAGACTAACTCAGATCAAACGAGTCTTGAATAAACGGATGGTTTTGCATGGTTGAGCCATGGACCGCTCAACCGTTCATGTTACCAGTTGTGTTCACTTCCTCGAGAATCGATTCAAACTTCGCAAAGATTGGTTTGGATTATCTGAACCTCCTTTCCGTCAAAGTTGATGGCGGCGTAGCTAGGCGATGGGTAACTTTATTCACATGTCTTATCACTAGAGCGGTGCACTTGGAATTAGTGGAGAATTTACCTGCCGAATGCTTCTTACACGCCCTGAGGAGATTCACTGCTGGACCTGGCTAATCGGAAATGATCTTAAGCAATAACACTAGTCAATTCCAACTAATTCGTAGATAGAAGTATTAAGGAACATAACGATGAGCTAGCAAACGTTTTAGCTAGGGGCGGAATAATTTGGAAAAATATAATGTCAAAGTCCCACTGGAGTGGAGGAATTTACGGAAGAATGATCGAATTAACAGAGACAGCAATGAGAAGGGCTACCGGTAGGAAGCTGCTATGGGAGAGAGAATTCATTACTTTGATAATAGAAGTAGAAAGTATCCTCAACACGCGACCATTAATGTGAATATCGATGATTGCATAGCAGTACGCTCCACAGATTTCATTTTCTCCAAATGCTTTGCTAACTTCACCGACTATCAACAATGAAGAATATGATAAGTTCATTCTCCATAAACCAAATCTCAGGGGAAAACTCATCAAACATTGGTTGAATTCACTCAAAACTCTCGACCTTTTCTGGAAAATGTGGAAGGAAGAATGTTTAATTAGTTTAAGCGAACGAACACAATGGGAATATGTTTCGCCAAAATACATTGAGAAAAGAACGCCGCGCATAAGCGAAGTTGTACTTATCAACAAACCTGGAATTAGTCGAGGCATGTAGAAGTTGGTCAGAATAAAGGAGTTTAAAGAAAGCAAAGAAGAAAGAGTAAGGGGCATTGTATTGGAACTACTTCGCGGAAAGCTTATCATCAAACTAATGAATTTATTGTATCCTTTGAAGATAGATGATGGTCGGAAAATTTAAAGCAATTTTATACAGTGTAGCTGTGACTCATACTGAGTTGTAATATTTAAATCTTTCCTCTTCCTCGTTCATCTATATTAACTGTCATGTATATGGTAATAGCCAAAAAGACCACTGTGACAGTGTAGAGCCTTTCTATTTATGTACCGTTTGAACTTTGTGTTGTAAATCTCCTTTCATTACATTACGTATGCGTATCCTCACAGACATTGTAAATCCACTTCTCTGCTATATAAGGGTTCGTATCTCTATCCAATTTGTCCTTTTCTGGACGTTGCCCTGTCCATCACATCAGACATCCGCGAACTTCCCTTCATCGTTTCACTCATCGAATGCTTCCGTCAGGCTACGTCCTCTACAACGCATTGTTTCCTTTCATCACTTTTGTATTGGTTATCATCATACGTTATTTCGTTGGCTGTAATAAACTGTTCTACTGAATTTGCTGCTCGTGATTGCAACTCAAAGGTTCGAACCATACAAGAATACTTCTTTAAAGGAAATAAGCTCTTCGTTTTCCAATAATATTTTCGATCCAATTTCTCACGACAAACCTTTCGCGACAAAAGCAAGTTTGATTTTTTGTAAATAAGAGCATGAAAGCCAAAATCATCCATCCAAGTTTATCCCGTTTAAATAAATCGCGTCTGTGTTTTGACAAAAGACAGTTTTGCTTCAAGTAGCCAAGTTGCTGCACTGAAAAATCTTAAAACTCGATGATAAAATCTTGAAGGAAAATAAAAATTGCTTACGATCGAATAATACGAAAGTCCAAAAAATTAAGATACAGTCGAACTCACCAGTTATCTAGAAAATTCCATCCATACTCAACACTTCTATTAGTCGATCAACGAGATAAAACTACCTAGAAATTTGGAGAGAAAGCGTTTACAACACGAAATGAATAATTTCCCCAAATTTGAAAAACCTTTCGTCAAAAAAGTTGAATAAACAGCGCTCCCATCCTAAAATGCGACCTCCACTCGGCTTAACAAACTCGTGAAACAGGTTTGCTGTAATTCCATAGGAAATTGCCATGTTATACTGTAATTGTAAAATTGACAAATTTTTAAGCAACAAAATGATCCTGTCATTCACGTATCACAACAACTATCTTCATGATTGCAGCGGCGAAAATTTCTCATATTAAAGAATATTAAAGTCTTGATAAATTCGAAACATGTGTGATCAGTGAAAAATTACTGTCATAGGTTCCCTCCACACTTAACTCTTCCAAGTTTGGAAAATATTTCAAGAAAAATCTCATCAGAACTATTGATAAGAGTTTGATAAAACTGAAATAATAATCGAGGACATCATCACATCCTGCCTATCTCTTGATTCTTACAATCATAAAAATCAATACCCACGCTCCAACACGCTACATAACATAGGGGAACACATCCATCTATAATACTGAGAGAATGGATTGGTGGAAGGAGTACTTGCGCAAATGATTTCAACGTGACTCTACACCTGAAATGTTTTTACTACAACGCTTAACGACTGACTTGATTTCCATTACTGACTTTTTTGATAGCAAAAACCTGATTCTACTAGCATTAACACCGTCATTTGCATTCACATCACCATAAACTTAGCAAAAGAGAATGAACCTACCTTATAGAGGAAGGTTCGTTCTCTTTTGCTAAGTTTTACCTTATAGAGAAAAGTTCGCAAAGAATCTATGAAATATTTGCGAATTTAACCCGGAAGGTACCTCGATTTACAACACTATACTAATATTTAGAAACGAAAGAAACCTTTTTGAAATGACCGTTTCGATCCATATACTTCGGGATCACTTATATATGTATATCTTTAATATGTACATCTTCAGACAAGCACATCTGGTCTCATCGTTGTAAAGTATTACGCTTTCAACTTTCTTTTAAAAAAAAAAGTGGAAAACTGTCCATATGGTCATCAGAACCAGTAATAGAAACGAGTGCACGCTGAAAATTCTGTATAAAGATTTTTTGTAAGATAACGACATTAATAATCCATCTGAAATTTGAACTACATAAACTTATTAATTTAACTGGTAACGGTGCTCCTCTAATAGCTTGAAGTTTGAAGGAATATTTCCTTTTTCGTCATGTTTCCACGTATCTCAGCCATTTCGAGATCTTAAAAAAAAGAAAAAGAGATTCGAAAAAAAAACTGGTTTCCTTTCAACTTGAATAAGTGAAAATTAGCTGCTTCTACCTGTTCATTTACATTGACCTAGTTATCAAGGAAATTTTTAGGTTTCGAAATTGACGAAGATATATCTATGTTCCTTTGATAATATACCTTATTTAATATCCATCGTGGCAATCTGCTCTCGATTGCAGTTTCAATACTAGAATGTTCTAGTTGCTCTCTTAGAGCTTCTAGTTATCGAAGTACTCGTTCCTACGCTGTACAAAACTGCTTCAGGTTTCCGACAGCTTTCTGTTTGCGAGGGTCTTACTGATGTTTCATTAGGTTGCGTGAATGTAAACTCTATTAGTTTCATTTCTGATTTAGACTACTAGGTGTTGAACTTGTTACCAAGCGTGTGCAATTATTCGGTGAAGTACTGTTTTCTGAGTTGACATTATGGAGCTCCGGACATGGAATT